GATACAACTTACTTGCTCATCCCAACCTTTCCAGTCTGACCGGTTGTTGCACAGCTTTTCTACGATTAATGACTGCTGTTACTGTTTAAAATCCATATATATATATATATATATATATATATATACACACACAAATAAGTAAACAAGTACACTCCGATACTTCAAAGTAGCCCTTATTATCCTAACAAATTTTGCGAGATTAGTTTAATTTCTGAATTTTTTTATGTTCTTAGTGGGGTTTTTATGTAATAGTATTTGATATAAACATATCATTTAGTTTAAATAATATCTTTCCCTTATTCACCTTGATCTGCTGTCAAACAAAGTACCGGGTGTTGGAACTTTGCCATGTAAAGATGATAACTCACATTCATCAGGAATGTTTTCAGTACAGTCAGGCTAATATCTAAGGTGCAAGGGCACCACTCAAGTGCAGATGTGGATGTTGTATCTGATTAAGTCTCTGCTAACAACCCCATATCCTCCTGTCTGACAACCTCTTTGTCTCCTGCAACATCTTCCAAGACAGTATTACAGGGTTACTGTGAGTGTTGCTGTCACTCTGAAACCTTCCTCTGCCGCCCTCAACACATGACATTTCAATCTAGATCAGAGCATTACCGCCTCACGCCTCTCGCTGACCGCTGGCTCAGGGGTCAAGAGGACAGAAGGCTGTTAAACTGATTTATTTTACTAGCTTTGACCTCTTTTATGTGCATAAATGTGCACGTGTGTCCTTAGCCTTAGCTTTGACCGTCCACATTGTATTAACCTCACTTTAAGAGAGATATTATTATTCCACAAGATAAAGCTGTGTCTTTAAAGGCTGTAATATCAGCTCGGACATTAAAGAAATCAAGAGAGATAAAGGGTAGAAACCGAGAAACAAGATGGTAGAAGAGAAACAAAGGGAAGACAGAGAGCTGGGGGAACTTACAGCACAACACTTTCAAATTTTGGTTGAGGGTGGTGGAGCTTTGGCAAACAGCACTCCCAGGGTGGGAGCACACTTAGCCAAAAACTGATACTAGAAATAGAAACACTCGCAGGCTGCAATTAAAACAAGCATCTCCAGAGCTGCAAGTTGAGGACTTTAAAGAGTTAGAGGAAAGATGCTCTTTAGAAACTGGAGGCTGGAGATGTCAGAGGGAGCAAACACTAAATGGTTGGAAAAACAGACTGAGAAATGTTGTTAAATAAACTCCTATCAGTGTCAAAGACAACATTTTCTGCACGTTATTAAACTAGAAGTTTAAGTACATTTCTCATTGGAATGGTGGTAGTTCAACAACAAAGCAAAACCCAGAATACATATAACTTATTATAATCTTTGACTTGGTTTGAGTGATAACCAATTCACAAAAGATTTGTATTCCTACAGGTCCAGAATATAACTGCAAAGTGAAAATGGACTAATAGACAAACAAAAGCAAATGAGTTGCTTGGTTTACACTAATTTGTGGACTCATTTTCTAGTAACACTGCAGTCAGAAGTGCTGACAGAAAACACAAATCTTAAGTCCTTCTGCTGGTTTTCAGGTTGTCTTGCATTGATTTTTGCTTCCTCTAAGTAGTGTAAACAGCACTGCAAGGTATTAATCCAGGCTGCTTGTCTCAAATGGTTTTAATGTACAGACCAGGGAGGCACATTCGTTGCACTGGGATAAATCGTCAATGATCACTGCTCAGGTTTGGTTTCCTCCAACGGTCCATCAACCAGATTACGTTATGCCAATTATAGAATCCAAAACTGGCCGTAGGTGTGATTGTAAGTGTGAATTGTTTAGCTTCGTCTGATGAATAACAACCTGTAGTTTGTAAAATTAGACTCTGTAAGAGTGGAGATAAAGATAAAACCAATATAAACACAAGCTTACACAAGCATTTAAAACAATGATGATAAATATCTAGCCTGCAACTAAAGAGAGGAGCAATGACTGCAAGAGATCAAACTTCCAAACGTCGTATTTCATTTCAGATCAACCTCGCACTCTTTGAGGAACAGTTGGGTGTTAAAGGCCACTGATGCTCCTGCAGGACTTTTCGCCTTTAATTCTGAAATCTATCAAGTACAGTCTCATTGATCAAAATAACGTGAAGCAGCACTGCACAACGCCTATAAACAATACTAGAAAACAAAACAAATAATGCAATTATTTAATGGGCAATGTGAATTCAATCATGCTTCTAAATATAAAATGCATTTGTGTCTTCCCTTCCTGCATTAAAGGAATTTGCTCATGAAGGAACACAGGTTCAATACCCATTATGACCTGTTGGCTATTACCTAATCTATCATCATCATTGAACCTACTCCTGTACACAGATGCTGAGCACAGCCCCCACAATCACACAAATAGCGAGTAAAAACAAGCAAATACACTCACACACAAAACATATATTGCAATTCCCTGGTGGAAATTTGCTATGCTTCACTTAGGGGAGTGAGTAAACCATGATATGGGATAGTATGTAATGCAGGGGCGAAGGTAATATTACATAGAAGAAGCAGCTGCATTTGTGCGTGTGTGTTAATATGGGCTCTGTGGGCTGGAGTTAACCCCTGGAGATCAACAGGAAATGTCTCAGTCAGCGAACACAAAAGCTCAGAGCTCCCCCAGCAGAGGGGGAGGGAGAGAGGGGCGAGGTCGGGGTCGTGTAGATAGATGGCCAGGTGGGTGGTGGCTGGGGAGATGTGATGTGATTATGAAACTGATAAACCGTGACAGAAACAGAAGGTTTATCACCGCACAATGTTACGCTGAGTTGTGAAAGACTCACTCTCATTATCGCACACCCAAAGTCTCAGCGCCTATTTTCAGAGGAAGAGTGAGGAGAGGAGTACTTAGATGAGAAACTACGGTGAGAAAAATACTTGTGAACAGACGACGAGACTCCTACCAACAGGAAGGAGATGGAGTTTGATTTAATGGGAGGAACAGAAACAGAACAGGCTCCTCTCACCACAGGGGAGAACAAAAAAAGAATACCAGCAAAGACTGAAAACGCTATAAAACAAACAGAATATTCATAAAAATGATGAAAGACCACACTAGCTTTTTGGATGAGCAACATTTTCTATGCAACAATGAGTCATTGTAGATCTTAAAGCACATTAGATTTCACATTAAAATGTCATTGTGAAATTAGTTTTGATGACACACTTCAGACGAGGCTGAAGCACGGAAATCTTTGCCACATTATGACAACTATCGGATGGACTGCCATGGAGTTTGGTACAGATATTCGGGGTGCCCAGATGATGAATCCAGACCTCCTGACTTTTCCTCTAGTTTGAATTGCCTAAAAACTCATCATGCTCAGTATAGCGGATGTTGTCAGGAAAAGTAATAAGAAACATTGACAGTGAACATATTGCAATCTTGCATTCAATATGAACATTTCAATGTGTCCCAGTGTCCTTGATAACAAAACGCAATCTGGGCAGCATTATGTTTCCAAACAAAACGTGTTGGTTGATGGAAATTAGTTATATACAAATTTGATTTATAATAAGAAGAGTTGCACACATCCACAATATTAAACGCTGCTCAGGAGATAGAGGAGTGTCCTTGATGAAGGTATTCAGATCATCCCAGTGGCCACAATGCAACAGGCAGACAGTAAAGAACACACTGACCCAACTCTGTAATGAACGACCCTGACATTTACATCAGCTGCTTACTGATGTGCATTTATCAGGCACACACACACACACTGAGCATTGATTTACATCACAAAGGAGACAACTTGTGGAAGAATCCGTATCTTAAATGCAGCAGCTCGCCTCGTTGCTGCTCCGCTCTGTGTGTCAACGGCACAACATGGCTAGTTAAAAGGCTCATCTGATGCCTGCTGCTGCAAGCAGATCGATGCTATTTCAGGTAGGTGGGAAGGTGGGAATCAGGGAGAGGAAAAGGGAATAGGGGGTGTTACTAGTGCGAGTAACATCCCCCTTGATGCCCTGACATAAATGAGAGAGGAGGAGGTGTGAGAGGCCAGAGATGCGGGAGTAGAGAGAGAGGAGCAAAGATGGATTGTGGCACGGACTGAACAAATGTAAAGAGGAGAGTGGTTGAAATAGGTAACGGGAAGAGACAGAAAGAGAGAGATGGTGTTAACAGCAGGCTAAGAGGTAAAGACAGGACTAAAGAGAAAAGGAGAGGGAGCAGAAAAGTGGAGAAAAATGGACAATGGAGTCATTTTCCTCTTTTTTGTTCAGTGGAATCTACCACTGCAGCAGTTGTAATGGTGATAACAGTAATTATTACCTTTCTGCGTTCCATTAAGAGCTTCTCTTACACATCACTGAGTCACTGCCTTATTAAAGTGTTATCATTAAAGAGCGGTAGAATATAAGTGTATGCAAAAGGGTCAGTGTGACAATGTAACCTTCTTTGGTTGAGTAGTAGTACACAATAAAGGAATAAATTCTGCATGAAATTAACTCATTCGGTGTATTGATGATGGTGGTGGAGAGCGCCGTCCAACATGTTGCTCTAAAATCTCTCATAGGTTTTCAACTGGGTAGGGTTCCGACTTTGACTGAGTAACACATAGTCAGACTTCAGATAGACGTCTAAATTAATCGGTTGCACAAAGCTGTCTCAGTAGAACTAATTTGCTATGAATTCTGGGTAAATTAAGACTTTTTTTAAAACTACAAAAGATGGCTGATCAAGCAGCCGTGGCACTGCAGCAGAAAATGTTCGCCTGCTGGGAGATTTCAACAGTTACAAGGACATTTTACTGCTGTATATTTTAACAGGTTACTGCAGCCTCACACACTCCACATCATTGGTCGGTGTTAGCCTGCCTAACTTTTTTTGGATAAAAATAAATCAGTCTTTGTGAACCTCTGTGTGTCTAACCTGCATGAGAATAATCTAAGAGTAAAATCAAGACTGACCGAATACTGCAGACCAGTCTAAAATATTTCTAGTGAATGTAAAGGTCATAATGAGTCAACAAGAGGAACCAAAAAAGACACAAAGCCTTACTCTCATCTGGGTTAGGTGACGCGAGGATGGCGCTGTGATTCCTTTTCACCTCCTCAACTTTCTCTGCCAGAGACTCGATGAAACCCCGGATCTCCTCCACCTGTCAAAAGAGAGAGAGAGAGAGAGAGAGAGAGAGAGAGAGAGAGAGAGAGAGAG